GGACGCTCACGAACGTAGGGAGTGGTGGGGCCACTTATAGAGCCGAGGTGGAAAGACCGAAAGGCTCGACGATTGTTGTTTCGCCGGAGAGGTTAGTGTTCGGAAGTAAACACGAGAAGCGGAGCTACTCTTTGACGATTCGCTATCGAAGTAATAGCGAGTTTGTTATCGCGGATGGTTCGATCACTTGGATCGAAGAGAATGGGAAGCATAGAGTGAGAAGTCCCATTGTCATTTCTCCGGGGGTGGGTGATGATTAGTTTAAAAGAGTAATATTTGTTTCTGGAATGCTTATAAATTGGTGGTATATATAATGTCATATTCTTAAAGCAATTTTCAACTTGTGTTTATGGTGCATAATGTTACTGAAGAACTAATCATGTTATATATATGGGCAAATTATGGTCGAACCCTTGAGTTATGGTCAAATTACGAAAACCCTCCTCCTGTTTGGGTAATTATAGCCACCTCTTAACTATGTATTATTTTACGAAAATACCCCTCCAAAGGTAAATTCAAGGATGTTAAATCGGTATAATCGAACAGAAATTTCGGTATCCCAACATTTCATACCGTTTATCGAACTCAATATACAATTTGGTTCGGTAAATAACCGAATTACATAAATTTTATGTAAAAATATTTAAGCATAAGGGGTGACTGTAATTACCCAAACATTAGGGGTTTTTTTGTAATTTGGTCATACCCCAGGGGTTGGCTGTAAATTGCCCATAAAGAACTGAATTGATTTTGCCCAAAAAGAACTGAATTTGAAAGGCTTAATTAATCTTGCTATATTACTAGTGAAGGGCAATTTTATTGAGTAGCCCTGTTTAAATTTCGATATTGCACAATGGTTTACTATCAAACAAATCGTTGGATATTTTGGATAGTGGATCGGATTTCGAGTGTGAGATTTGAACGAGGATCTATGGTAGTGTTATAATGTGCTAGATTGGAATCTCTTGTATCATTTTCAGCAAGTGGCGAAGTCAGGATTTTACAACGTAAATAAATTAATGACAATAATGATTGTTTCGACACTAACGAGACTAGGATATCGTTACACGGTAGACTTAAACTTTTGGGGGTTCGGGGGGCATCGCCCCCGAGTGTTTTTGAGGATTTTTTTTTTTTTTTTTTTTTTTTTGGCATTAATTTTATTTTTATGTGCATTAAATGATACAAATTTGATGGACTTAATGAATATATAGGTGTTATATGGAAGTTTTTTCAATTGCAACAAAACTTGTTATATGCTAACTTTTAACAGACTTATCAACCTTTGTCAGAAAAATGAGAAAACGAGTTCCAACAGTTATTCTAAATTTAGTGAACTTGCTAAATAATGAATTTGGCTTCTCAAATTTGAGAAGCCAATCTTATATATGCTGAAATCAACTTTTTGGCATATACAGTACAAAAGTATGGAATATTTAATCCACATCAACAAAAATAATAAAATATAAAATTGTTTATTATTATTGTTGTTGGAGTGAGTTGTTTTTCTTTTGTTTTTTGATAAGAAAATCATTAATTAGAAGGTAAAAGAGTCAACAATGTGGTAATTATAAGCATTATTCTTTTCAGTTTTGTGATATTAAAAGTTTTTGTATGGTTTTAATTTTAATTCTTTTACACTTAAATTACATTTAGACCCAAAAAAAAAAAAAGTCTTCTTCTCCCTCCTCCCATCTAGCTAAACACTTCATCGACCATTTCTCAAGCCCGCCGCCCTACCACTGTCCCACCACTATCTCACCCCTCCTACACCACCACCTTCCTTCCAAATCCGCAACCCACGAACAATCGAAATCTTTTCAAATTCACGAAGGCGGCGATGGAGGCGGCGATAATGCAGGAGAAGAATTTTTTTTAACCATCTTCACCCATACACAACTATCTATGTCGCTAAAAATTGGTGGTTCCAGATGGCGGCGTTGTCAAGGGAGAGAAATTTGAAGAAGGGGTGGGTGGCTGTGGTGCGAGACGCCGGCGGTGGCCGGCGGACTGGAACGAGGAAGAAGACGTGATAACTCTTCTTTTCTCTTTTTTTTTTTCATTATTTTGTAATTTTAGAAATTACAATTTGGTTCTCATAATGTAGGTTATTCATAATTTAACCAATCAAATTTGTTTTTAATTTATAAAGGGGTAAGTATGACATTTCACCGTAAAAATACCATAAAAAATTGCACACCCCGCGAGTGAGTGACAAGATTTGCCTCCAGGGGTCTCGATGCCCTGACTTTGTTAACACAGGGGGTTTTGGTGAATTTGTTTTTGACAGGAGGTATTTGACAGTTTGAGATAACACAGGGGTAGTATATGCAATTAACTCGTTAACATATAAATAACAACATTTAGAAAAATGATTTTTTAAAACACTATTCAGTTCCATTAATTTACAAATCTCAGTCCTAATTTTGAACAATACATATGTTCATATATTTAATTTCAGCTCAATACTTCAAATTTTATTTTACATATAATTTTGTGTGCTTACTTCGAGTTGCTTGAAATTTTCGAATTTGGATATGAGTTCACGGGACCGATATACTTTTATCTGTTAGAGAATATTATATTATAGAACTCTCCTAATATTAGGATTCTAGTATGATTCGGTTACCTAGATTAGTTAGGATTTAGTTACCTAGTCAAACTCTATTACCTTGGAATATTTCTCTATATATATTCCATGTAATCAACCCATAACATAATGGGGGTTTCTATTCTATATTTCTCTCCTTCTCCTATTCTATTCTTCCTATATGGTATCAGAGCACCAGGTTTAGGTTTTTTTAACCTAGCCAACCGTCTTTCTTCTCCATGGCGGTGACCACCCGATTTTCTCCCTCCCCCGGTGGTGGTACTCTAATATTTTTTTTTTCTATCTTTTCCATGCACATCACCCGAATTTTCTCCCTCCCCCGGTGGTGCATCTTCTATATCTTTTTTCTTCTTCTTCTTCTTCCTCTTCTCTTAGCCGCCTTTCTTCTCTATGGCGGTGACCACCCATATTTCTCCCTCCCCCGGTGGTTCTCTATCTTTTTCTTCTTCTTCGTCTTCTTTTTCTATCTTTTCTATGAACACCACCCAAATTTTCTCCCTCCCCCGGTGGTTTTCTATCTTTTTTCTTCTTATTCTTCTTCTTTCTCCATGGCCTAAAATCTAGCAGCCGCTTCTATTCTTCCTCCTCTTTTCTTCTCCATAGTCTACAACCTAGCCGCCGCCTCTTCTTATTCTCAATGGCCGGCGACCACCAAACCAATTCTCTCGGTGGTGGTACTCTTCTTCTTTTCACTTATATATTTCTTCGACATCATCTTCTTCTTAGTCGATTAATCTCTTTTCTATCTCTTGGATCTCTATCCTTCTTCTAATTATTCTTCTTCTTCCCCATCTCATATCTTCTCTCTCTCGATTCAAAAGAAAAAAAAAAAAAAATCTCTCCATGTTATTATTATTATTATTTTCTTTCTATTAATTTGGCAGGTATTTTTATCAAAGATTTCACTACTGCTGGATTTTGCGGGTTTCTGTTTTTTTTATCCAGTCGTCATGTTTGGAGTATATTCGTTCCGACTGCGGGAGCGTGCTAGCAAGTGATTGTCCAGTCTTCACGTTCGTCACGTTTCGACTGCGGGGGCGTGTTAGAGAATATTATATTATAGAACTCTCCTAATATTAGGATTCTAGTATGATTCGGTTACCTAGATTAGTTAGGATTTAGTTACCTAGTCAAACTCTATTACCTTGGAATATTTCTCTATATATATTCCATGTAATCAACCCATAACATAATGGGGGTTTCTATTCTATATTTCTCTCATTCTCCTATTCTATTCTTCTTATATTATCACTTATCATCTAGATAGTACGAGTATGGGTAGACATGACCACAATTCGGTTCGATTCTGGTCCTGTTTCCGATTTCGATTTTGAAGGAACCGGAACCGAACCGAATATTTCCGGTTTCTTTCTTGCGGTTCGGTTCTTGTACGGTTCCCGGTTAGAACCGGCCTGTTCTGACTTTTTTAAAAACAAAATTTAGTATATATTTAGATATATAACTTAAAAATAGTTAATTTTAAAAAAAAAAACACACTAGAAAAAATACTTTAAACACTTAAAAGAATTAAAGTTCTTTTTAAAATACTTTAAAAATATTTTTTTACTTTTAAAAATTAAAAAAGCAAAAGGAAAGAAACTGAAAGGGCTTGCACTTAATTTTTAAATTTTAAAGTTTAAAGTTAAATTTTAAATAATTTAATTTTTTTATGTAACTTCAAAAAATATTTAAAAGTAACTTAATTTAAAAAAAAAAAAAGTGGAAATAATTCTTCAAAGACTTCAAAAAATTAAAGTTTTTCTTTTAAATACTTAAAAAAAATATTTTTACTTTTAAAAAAATTGAAGGAATTAGTTTTAGTTTTAAAAATTAAAAAAGAAAAAGGAAAGAAATTGAAAGGGCTTGCACTTAATTTTTTAATTTTAAAGTTTAAGTTTAAACTTTAATTATTTTTTTTTAAAACCGGTTCGAACTGTTGAAATCGCGGTTCTAACCGTCGGTTCTCGATTCAGAAAATGGGGAACCGGAACCGAACCGGTTTTCTCAGTTCCGGTTCTGGTCAAACCGGTTCCGATTCGGTTCTAAAATCGTTAACCCTGGTTCGGCTCCGGTTCCGATTCTAACCGAACTGGTGGTCATGTCTAGGTACGTGTATGGGTTCGGGATCTATTCCTTGGGAGTTTACAAACTTGATTCTTTTAATTTTATTTTTTTGCTGTGGTTAAATTTACATAAATTAAGTAGTTAGATTGTTAAATAGTACATGTCAAAATTTGAAACACTCAGTGAAATCGGGTGTATCATAGAAGAGACTAGGTTTATTTGATACTACACTCAGTGAAATACAACATGTGATTATTAATCGTTGATCTGCACACAATTGTGCACCTGTTTGTATGATTATTTAACAAATCAATAGTTAAAAATCATCTAGAGTAGCATCTCAGCTGCCAAGAGATTGAGTGGGGGTAATTGGACGACATATTGATGAGTAGTTACAAATGCATAAATTTCACAAAAGAAAAATATCTAAAACTTAAGTTGTTTGATAGCTTGAAATTTGATTTTTCTTAAGAAAATAAAGAAATTAATCTAACTGGATTTTACAATAAGATAATTAATTAAAATCTTAACTCTTTCAAAAAGTTAAAATCTTAATATACAAACCCATTGCCCTTAGTGCTCAAGAATAACGTAAAAATGTCACCTAAACGATGACCTAGCGGTTGGAGCAAGTGAGCATGTGTCAGTTGATCAAAGTTTGAATTCTTTTGCCAACTACCGCTATGTAGACTTTATCACGTATGGTCAGCCTAGTGTAGTTCACGTCTCTCGTATGATTTATAAGTTATTATACGAAAATGTTGACTTACCCAATATATCTATATAATTGGTTGGAGATTCTTTCGTCTCAAAATAAAAACATATAAAAGGTTATGTCCAGAACTATTGCACTCTGATTTTACAAGAATTATTCCACATATTTTCACGCGCTATATAACAAAAAAGCATTAAATTCTTTTATTTGGTTGTCCGCACGATTGTTGTCAATAATGGACCCACGGAAGCTTATTTTTCCATTGTAATTTTTGTCCCTACAAACTTATAAACAAGCTTTAATTAATTGATTCCATTACCTCCCACGATATATATATATATATATATATATATATATATATATATTTGACTTAAAAAAAATAATAAAAAATCTCAACCATCTACACAAATTGCATAATACAGTATACTTAAATGAATAGAAAAAGCTATTACCATGTGATATTATTCCCACACCTACCTAAAAAATCATTTAATTAATCCGAATCCACGTAAGAAGATAAACATACACATAGAAAAACAAAAAGATAGTTGTTTCAACTTTCAAATATGCACTGCAGAAACATTTGTAAGTTGTAAGAGAACCAAAAAAACTTCAAGAAAACAAAAAAAAAAAAAAAGATGAGGCTGGTTAACACAGCTTCTCTAATCTTGTTTTCATGGTTTCTATTGGCTGATCAATATGTTTCAACACAAAGAACAACCTACATTGTCCACATGGACAAATCCTCCATGCCGAAGGCTTTCGCCACCTGTCACCATTGGTATTCTTCCATCTTGGATTCCACTACTAAATCGACCAATCGCGTAAAATCGTCGCCCAAGCATGTTCACACCTACGACCACGCCTTTCATGGATTTAGTGCATCATTGTCCGAGGAGGAGCTACTGCTTTTAAAGAACTCGCCCGGTTTCCTCCGGGCCCACATCGACGGGCCCGTCGAGCCCGACACCACCCACACGTACAAATTCCTCTCTCTCAACACCGCATCGGGGATATGGCCTGCATCTCAATACGGCAAGGACGTGATCATCGGTGTGGTTGACTCCGGTATATGGCCCGAAAGCCCGAGTTTCGGGGAGGATGGCATGACCGCAATTCCCGCGAAATGGAGGGGCACTTGTGAGGTGGGACAAGATTTCAACTCGTCCATGTGCAACAAAAAGTTAATCGGAGCTAGGTTTTTCAATCAGGGCGTTATGGCGGCCAGTCCGGGTACTACGATAAGTATGAACTCGACGAGGGATACTTTCGGCCACGGAACTCACGTGGCTTCGATTGCGGCGGGAAATTACGTGGAAGATGTTTCATACTTTGGATACGCTCCAGGAACGGCGAGAGGGGTGGCCCCACGTGCCAGGCTGGCGGCGTACAAGGTCCTCTGGGACGAAGGGAGCTACGAATCTGATGCTCTTGCAGGAATCGATCAAGCAGTTGCTGACGGCGTTGATGTTCTGTCGATCTCTTTGAGTTACCGTACGATTGATTTATACGAGAATCCGATTGCTATTGCGGCCTTTGGTGCGATGGAGAAGGGCATCGTCGTCTCTGTTTCGGCGGGAAACCGCGGGCCCAATTTTGGCACTGTTCTTGAGGGGATCCCGTGGGCGGTGGTCGTGGCGTCGGGGACCGTTGACCGTTGGTTCGCCGGTACCTTGACCCTCGGTGACGGTCAAACAATCACGGGGTGGACTATGTTTCCGGCAAGAGCGACGGTGAGAAACTTGCCTCTCGTTTACAATAAGACGTTATCGGCTTGTAATTCGACCGAGTTGCTAGCGGACGCTCCCTCCGCGATCATCATATGTGTGAATTCTTTCGACTCTCCGGAATTCTCCGATCAAATTGGCTATGTATCGACATCGAACGCCCTTGCGGCTATTTTTATATCCGAGGAAACCCGCATACTGCGATCCACTTCTTTCCCATACCCTGGGGTTGTAATCACACCAAAACAGGGGAAAGGTGTGATCAAATACGCCAAGAACTCTAGTGCTCAACCAACAGCCAGCATCAAGTTCCAGCAGACAATCCTAGGAACGGAACCCCGGCCCGCCCCAGCTGTCTCCGCCTCCTCATCGCGGGGCCCGTCCCGAAGCTATCCGGGCATTTTGAAGCCCGACATAATGGCCCCGGGAGTGTTGATCTTAGCAGCCTACAATCCCGATACCTCAGTAACAAATATCGGTTCGAACATAGGCTTGTCTAGTGATTACAACCTAGAGTCGGGCACATCTATGGCTTGTCCGCACATCTCCGGAGTGGCTGCTCTCCTGAAAGCCGCGCACCCGGAGTGGGGCCCCGCGGCAATTCGATCGGCCATGATGACCACTGCAAGTACACTAGACAACACCGGGAAGCCCATCAAAGACATGGGCAACGATTACAAAGGTGCTACGCCTCTGGATATGGGAGCGGGTCAAGTCGACCCGAACCGTGCGCTTGACCCGGGGCTTATATACGATGCCACACCACAAGACTATGTAAACCTCGTATGTGCTTTGAATTACACTCGTGAGCAAACACGGACTATTATAAGATCGAACTACAACTGCTCGAACCCATCCCTCGATCTTAACTACCCGGCGTTTGTTGCGCTTTACGATCCACTTGAAGAAGTAAGTACTAAAACTCGGAGATTTCGAAGGACCGTTACAAATGTAGGGGATGGTGCGGCTACTTATAAAGTGAGTGTGAAAAGACCGAAGGACTCGGTGATTACGGTGTCACCGGAGAAATTGGTGTTTCAAAAGAAGAATCAAAAGCTTAGCTTCTCTTTGACTATAAGCTACAAGACTTATAGGGACTACGTCATCAATCATGGATCAATCATTTGGGCCGAAGAGAAAGGAAAGCACACTGTGAGGAGTCCCATTGTGGTTACACCGGCGGAACCTTCGGGATAATTATTTTTTGTGCATTTACGACTCGACTATTCGCCGGCCAACAATTTTATTCATGAAATCAGTTTTGTGGATGTAAATTCAATAAAATTTCTTCATTTCTTGGTGTGATACTTTTTTTTTTTTTCATGAAAAAATTATGTGATGTTTTATTCATGAAATCAAGTCCGACACATTTTATCAAATAGAGTGATATTTCGGAACACAAGTTTATTCAAGAAAGACTTGTAAACCACACACTGCATATATCATTATTTATTACATATAGGCATAAGCATTCTCATTGAAGCATTTCGTCGAACAGATAAAGGGATAGAAAATGTACCTGTTGATTCATTATCAGGAGGAATATGGAACAATCTCATTCTAAATAGAAATCCTATAATTACAGTTTTGCCATTCTTGTAATGGGAGGTCTTGAGTTCGATCTCAGTTGTCATTTGTCTGTATACCAAGACCCTTACACAAGTCCAATATTTTTTTATTTTTTGTTACATCTAAGTATTGCCAAGATACAAAATTTAAATTATCCAATTTAACTATTAAAAATTCAATTAAGAAAAGTCAAATACATTCAAAATCTATAGATATTTTCTTAATTAAAATTATTTAGAGCGAATATTCTGTGTGTAGATTTTGTTATATTAAAAGACAAAATAAAGTCATAAAAAATTGACATAAGAAGCTTCAAACATCTAGAAAAATGTGCTTCCGTGATAGGCGCATGTTCGTTGTCGTTGCGTCTGAGCAAGACGCAATGTTGTAGCCGTAATAGAAATGCAAGGATGATGTCTTTGCTCTGCACCAAGCGTAATTTAATTTTATTCAAGGAAGATATATATTTAAAAATTAAATTAATTGAAAACCATATTTTTTTTCATTTACAACTTTTGGATTAAAAATAAAGCAATGGTATTGTTGGAATTTTCAATTTTAAGAGACCTTTAACATAAATAAATAAATATATTTTTGATTTACACATTTCGGGTCAAACTATGAAACAATAGAATAATTAGGCTTTTCAACAATTTCAACACTGTACTCTTTTTTCCTTCGTCCAAGTTTTTTTCCCAATTGGTTTTTCTTGGCAAGGTTTTAACGAGGCAGTGTTAGGCTCTCAAGATTTAAATGGATATGTACTCTTTTCTCCTTCGTTTAGGTTTTGTCCCATTGGGTTTTCCTAACAAGGTTTTTAACGAGGCATACTCCATGTATGGTGGACATCCAAGGGGGAGTGTTATGAATTCTTAAGTGTGGATGACCACCATTACTCACCATCATCAAGCACCATTACTCCCACCACTACTCCCACCATTTACTCACCATTATAGGCCCATAACTCCTTGTAACTCATGACCTTTCATGGTCTTACTTGTACTATATATAGTGTTCCATTGTATTGAGTTGGATACACAAGAAGAACAAGAGAATAATATACTTGCTTCTCTCTATATTACTATATCAATTTATCTTTGCTTTGTTCTTCTTTATTAATTTCTCAACAAAAACAACATTTTTGGGCAGGCCTTTTAACATAACCTCTGGGCTGGGGCATGCGCATATGTAATCAACATGCATTTCCTAGACAAATGTTAAAAGGAAATTTAATTCTATTAACAACTCATAAAATCTCAAGATTCAGAATTGGACATACTAATAATATGATGTATCGTATGACGTAGGGATGACTCTGGGGTGGATATGGTGCGGGTTTTGGAAAACCCGGGTTTTGGAAAACCTGGACTTGCCCCGCTAACAAAATTTTCTATCGCCTCGTACCCGTTATGGATTTAATTTTATTAAACCCACTCCCGCCCCGTATAAGATCCGCCCCGCTAGCAAAATTTACCACCGCCTCGTACCCGTTTTGGATTTAATTTTATTAAACCCACCCCGCCCCGTATAAAACCTGATCCGTACCCGCCCCGCCCCGAACCCGTAAAAATATTATTTTGTTTAAATTTATAATTTATTAATTAAAATATCTCTAAAAATATGTTATGGTATAAATATATATATATATATATATATATATATATATATATATATATATATATATATATATATATATATATATATATATATATATATATATATATATATATATATATATATAAAATTAATAAAATAAATAAATGGGTTGGATAGGGGACGGGTAAGGGTGCATATGATCAAATCCCGTACCCATTACGGGTGAAATTTATAAAACCCGTACCCGTCTCACTAGTTAATAAGGCGGGAATTACCCGGTAAATATGGGGTGGGGCTGGTTGGGTACTCGGTGGGACGGATTAAATTGTCGTCCCTAACCGTATGTGCTAGGGTTGAGGCCCTAGAAGGCTAGAACATATAGAGAGAGAGAGAGAGAGAGAGAGAGAGAGAGAGAGAGACCACATACATAAAAAATTAAAAATATGCCTTTCCCATGCCTCTCAAGTCTCAACGTAACCAAAATATATATAAATAATAATATGTCAATATCATTCCAGCAAACTGGGATCCAAAGTCGTGCTAACGTTTTCTTATAGATTTCAGAGCTATCCCTTTTGAAATTTCATGAAACTAACTAGTTGTTTTATATTTTGCTGCAACTTATTAATTATATTATCTTCCATTTATTATATTTAAGCTTGCCAGAAAAAAAAATATTATAACTAGTTTTGCCAAGAGTCATGAACTCGAACTTATTTAGTTTATTCAATTCGGTTTGAAAGTTATATAACTTTAATAATAAGAAGTGGAACCTAAGATATGTTAAAATATTAAATTGCACAGAATTATAGGACTACTATTGAATTAAGCTCCATATTTATATTTTATATATACAATATATATACAGTGGCGGAGCCAGCATAGAGCCAGAGATGACCATGCCGCGCGCACTTCCCTTATAAAAGTTTTAATGCATTCAGCCTCACGAACTTAAAATTATGGCTCCGCTAGTGCATATGTGTATAAATAGAAGACAATTGCTCAAGGGGTAATTTTTGTAATTTTATAACATTTTTGGGTGGTTTATACTAATAATAATTTTGTGGCAATTTAAACACTATGCTAGGCAAATGGCTCAATTTATAGCTATGATTTCAATAATATTGAAGAAAATTAAATTGTTCTAAGTTAATGAGCAAACCTAAATATCGAGGACTAGCTATTAGTTGGCCTAATTTAGGGGCAATAATTATTGAAGGATAAGGTAATAGTTAAGAGTACATTATTTAGTTTGGAGAAAATGTGAGGACCAAATAAACTAAAACAAAAGTAAGATGGCTCCAAATGAAGAGATGTAGACACGGCTACACATGTTTTATTTTTATTTTTAGGGTAAATTACAACCGTTCACGAGGTAAGGTCTATTTATGAGAAAACCTCTCATTTTTCCATAATTACATCCATCCCAAGCAATTTGTTTTTCTTCCATTGACACCCTTTTGTAATTTATAAACTACGGGAGGCTGAATGTAATTTCTCAAAAGTGAGGGTTTTTTTTATAAATAGACTTATCTCATGGAGATGGATGTAATTTACCCTTATTTTATTGTTATTGTTTTTTTTAAGTTATGGGATAAACATATTTTTTAAGAAAAAATGTGATGGCAAAAAATGACAACGGGAAAAGTCGGGGGAAGCGTCGCTACAATTCGATTCATCGTTAGAGAAAGTCATAATTTCTAATGTCTTATAAAAGTTTAAATAAAAATTCAAATGAATTTGAGAAACAAATCTTCTCATAACAATGATAATATAATAATCTAACGGTTGTCCCGAAAGGGATGACCTGAAGCAAGTGAGCTTGATCTGTTAATTGACTCAAGTTTGAATCCCTTTATCGATGATTGCTATGTCGAGTCTGTCACACATATGGTTAGCTATGTCGAGCCTGTCACACATATGGTTAACCTAATGTAGTTTATGTATCTCGTATGATTTGCAAGTTATTATACGAAAGTGTAAGTTTATCCAATTCACCTATCCAGTTGACTAATATCTTATACATAATTAATTATCTTGCAACTCTAGTATGAATAATATTTGAACATAACTTAGCAATGTGTCTTTTCCGGTCGCGAAATGTCGACATTGCAATAATTATCCATTAAACATATGTAGTGCAAATTTGTCGAAAAAAGAAGAAGCTAATATTACCTACCATTTTTTATTATACTCAATTTATCTTTATAATTTTCTTTTTTGGATTTATGCGATACTATAATCTGAAATGATAGATAAAGGTCGAAATTTAGTAAATGCAGGTCATTTTTCAATTTTAAATTTTAGTACCATTCCACCATTTATTATCTCTTTAACTTCATTGTTTTGAATTATATTCCTACATTTCACTTTTATATTTAAATTTATTATATTGTGTTAAAAACACAAAAAGAATTGTGAAAAAAGTTCAACCTAGGAAAGCTTCATAAATCCAGAAAGTACGAGTGTATGCAGATACTGTGTTTTGATGTATAGATACGATATTCTGGCAAAATAAAAGTTTTAAAGAAGAAGATGAGATTGGTACCAAAAATTATTTTATTAAAAAAAAGACCTACATTCATTAAAAAACGACCTGTATTTATCAAGTCTCTGCAATTGTTTCATTGATTGTTACACAAATATTTTCCAAAGAACTCGAACAAGATTCCCTTTGTCCCTTTCCTAAAACACTAGAACCAAAAAGGGTCCACGAAAAATAATTAAAATTTTCCAAGGTAAAAGGTCCCCATCATTTTATCATTATATACTTTATGTCTTTCTCCAAATTCTAATATACTATTTTATTTATTTTTTAGATTTTTCTTGATCGATCACATGAGTGAACAAGTCACTTCACTAACAACCATTGAAATTCAATCTTATATACCTTGCAGTTTCAAATATATTCAATAGACCTAAATCACTACCAATTAAAAGACAAAAAAAGTATTAAATAAATATAAATTTGGGTAAATTACAAGCACCCCATGAGATATGTCCAAATTACGGAAAAAAACACCATCTGTTTGGGTAATTACAATCATCTCATCAATTATAATTTTTTTTAGACGTCCACCTTTGCGGTATCAAATTTAGCGGAATCTTCTAGATTATGTGAAATATGCTCAATGTTGTACTTGTTTTATCTTATTTGAGCTCTACATTTAGAAGCAATAATCATAAGATGTGATTTTTTTGCCTGTATATATCAGATTGTGGTGCGTCAGAAACTGCATTTTTGCACAAAATAAATACAAACTAGAGAATATTCCACGGAATCTAGAAGATTATGTTGAATTTGACACGTGTAACAAGATTCGTAGTTAATGATGGTGATTGTAATTATCTAAACATGAGGGGTTTTTTCGTAATTTAAGCACACCTCAAGAGGTGGTTGTAATTTACTATAAAATTAATAGTAATAATTAATAATTAGAATTATTTGATCACATATTGAAGATGACAAATTTAGTAATTACTTAGTAAATATATTTTCATGGGACTAAGGTTGTTGCAACAATGGGACTTCTAACTTGATATTTACCACTAGATTCAATCCAAGTCAACGAACCATAAACCAAGGAATCTTTCATCAGCGTTTGACTTTCAATTCTCAGCTTGTAGCTTTTCTTCTCGTACTTGTCACTGAATTCCAGCCTGTCAGGTGACACACTAACTTTCAATCCATCGAACGTTGTCAGCTCCGAACTGTAAACCGATTTCCCAACCCCAACATTAGTCACTGTTCTCCGAAATTCCCTAACGGCTAATTTCTCGGAACTTGTGCCGTTCGGATTAAAAAATGCGATAAACGACGGATAATTCAAGTCGAGCGATGGATTCGAGCAATTATAGGCCGTTGATCTGGTGATCGTCTTGATTTGATTTTCGGTGAAATTCAATGCGCATATGAGATTGATGTAGTCCTCTGAGGTTGCGTCGTATACAAGGCCCGGATCCAATGCCTTGTTCGGGTCGATATGGCCCGACCCGATTCCGAACGGGTCGGCGAATTGGCCGCCGTTGGATCCAATTTCTTTGATTGGATTGTTTGTGTTGTCTAAAACGTAGGCGGTCGTCATCATGGCCGACCGGACGGCCGCCGGGCTCCACTCTGGGTGGGCCCCTCTCAGGAGGGCCGCCACTCCAGCGGCGTGCGGGCAAGACATTGACGTTCCGGATATAACGTTGAAGTTCGAAAAGAGACTTCCGGAGGTTTTGATTGTAGTAACCGGAGAATTCGATGGCCACGATGCGAGAATTAGGTCACCGGGGGCCATGATATCGGGCTTCAGGACGGAAGGGCAACTTGGGGAGGGCCCACGTGAGCTGTAACCGGCTAATTGTGGGGCCGGTTTTGTCCCGATGAGGGTTTCGTGGAAGGTGAAGCTGGCTTTCGGCTTGGAGTCGCGTTTGATGTAGTCGAGAATTTGTTGGCCTTGCTCGAGTTTCAAGAATAGTGATGGAAACGAAGTTTGGATGAATGATTCCGCGTCCGTGTAGTTTGATATGAAGACTGCACCGACGACGTTGGAGTTTTGGACAGAGTAGACTTGTCCGTCTAGCGCGTTGGATGTGTCTAAGCACACGACGATTTTGGATCCCACTTTCTTGATCGAAGTGTCGTTTTGGCAAGCCCCGACGAAAACGATGGGGGAGTACTGGCTGGAGGAGAAGTTTCCGGGATAGAGTGTCATCCCCGTCACCGAAACTCCGTCGCTCATAGTCAAACTCCCTCGAAATTCCCGGTCAATTGTGCCTGCTGCGACGGTGAGGACCCACGGTGTCCCGTTGTGCAGAGTCTCCAAATACGGCCCCTCGTTGCCTGCGGAAGTCGAGACGAAAATGCCCTTCTCCATTGCCGCGAACGTCGCTATCGCGACGGGGTCGGCATGCAGGGCGAGCCCGTCGATGCCTAACGATAACGACAAGACATCCACACCGTCCGCTATCGCGGCGTCGATGGCAGCGATTATATCTGAAAGATAAGCCCCCTCGTCGAAGAGGGCCTTGTACACCGCCACCCGGGCCCGCGGGGCCGTGCCCCTGGCGGTCCCGCCAGCATAGCCAAAGTAGGAGGCGGGGTCCACGTACCCGCCCGCTGCGGTGGTCGAGGTGTGAGTCCCGTGCCCGTCAGTGTCGCGGGCCGAGTTCATCGTGATCGTCAGGTTGGGGTACTTGGCCATGAGCCCCTTGTTGAAGTAGCGGGCCCCGATGAGCTTCTTGTTGCACATGGACGGGTCGAATTGGGTGCCGCGTTCGCACTCGCCCTTCCATCTCGCCGGAACTACCGCCATGCCACCATCGTCGAAGCTTCTGCTCTCCGGCCAAACTCCGGTATCAACAAGCCCGATGATGACGTCGTTCCCGTAATCCGAAACGGGCCAAAGCCCGTTTTGCGGATTGAGGCCGAGGAACTTGTACGAGTGGGTGGTGTCGGTTTTGACCGTCTTATCCTTAGTCGAAGAAATGTAGCCGGGGGAGTTCTTGATCGCTTCGAACTCGGAAGGCGAGAGAAGCGCGGTGAATCCACTAATCGCGTTCGTGTAAGTATAGATAAGCTTATTAGAAGATGAAGAAGAATAATCTGTGGTACTAACTTGGTCTGAAATAGAAGATAGTGTGTTCAAATACCAACTATGGTGTGTGGAGAATGATTTGGGCATGAGAGATAAATCCATGTGGATAATGTAAGTGTCTGATTCTGCAAAATATGACTTCAATGTAATGGAGAAGACACAAAAAATCAAGAACAAAGAGTTAAGGATTTTCATGTTTTTTTTTTTTCTATTGTAGTATTCTTTGTTTTTCAATTATATATATATAGCAGAGAGTTTACTTCAATTTGTTTTTATATTAAGTCTAACTGGTAGCATAATAATACCCCATAACATAAACAAAATACACACATACAGTGTGGGACCTCTCTCTATCTTGGCCCATTAAGTTGAAAAAATAAAACTTTGTGTAGAGTTTGTATATATTATTGATTTTTGGCAGAAAATAATGCAGCACGAAATTTAATAAATGTATAATTTTTTTCTTGTGGTACATGTTTTCAGTTTTCACCTAATTTTACATAATAAACAACTAGGTTTAGGCAACTTGGTTTATGTGCCAGACTTAGGGATGGAGATTGGAACGGAATTTTCGACTTTGAAATAGTGTTTTTCGTTTTAAATTCCGATAATTTGAATTTTCTGATTTTTTTGATTATTTTTTATCCGAATTGAAATATGTGAGTCCAATCCGATTTTAATTTCGAAATATAATATCAATACTATTACGCATTTTATCTCGTAGGTGAAAAAAAAATCAATTTTTTTAATATTTCGATTTGAAACATTTCGAAGTTTTTTCATTTCAATTTCCAAATTCTTTTGAAATAGTTGGAACTGATTTTTTACTTCCGAAAAAATGATATTTTTTTTCTTCTGAAAGTACCAATAATGATTTGATTTGTTCGATTTACATCCCTAGTCAGAGAACAATTCAATTAATATCAGTGGTATACAGTGTTGAAGTAGCTTCAAGAGTTTTATTTCAACAATAAATTTTTTATTTATTATATTGATGACACAATCAATAAAGACCACATAATATGTATTAATAAATTGGAATATGGAACGAATTGTAAATGACCACAAGTGATTAAAAATAATAATAATGGGTACTATGTCACAATCCCAATTTTGTTTTGAAGCCTTCTTCCAACCACCAATCATGGACTTGATAAACTATCGTGAAGAAAGGGGAATCAAAAAGCAGATTTAGGGGATAGAAATATATAGCATGCACGACGGCCACAAAATCAAACCAGTAAATTACGAAAACCCCACTGAACTTAGGCTAAATAGCGAAAAATATCTCCAACTATCCATAATAACGAAAATCACCTTCAGATTAACTGTTGATCGAGTTTTTTAACAGAAAATGTGTACAGTCTGTTATACCTTCTGTTAAATAGGTAATAAATAAAAGAAAATATCTTAAAGTGTGTAAAATCTATTCTCTAGAATAAAAAAAAAAACCGTGAAAAGTCACACTGTAAGGGGGTTTGTGTAAGACGGAAACAAACTTCAGGGGTTTTTTGATAATTACAAATAAGTGCAGGTGGTTTTTGTAATTTAATGTAAATTTAAGGGGTTTTTCGTAATATACCCAATATCCAATGGTCCACTAAATAATTGCAACTTCTTTTTCTTTTCGAAAAAAAATACAATTTAATGAAATTATTTACTGAAATATCAAACCATGTTTTCAAAATGGACCAAACATGGAATCGGTCAGACAATTGGATTAACCATGTTTATGTGTACGTGTCACTTACGATTGGATCAATATACGGAAGAAAAAAAAAACTGGGAAATTTATAGTTTTCATCCATTGAATTTGCAACGATTTCACTTTTGATTCTCATGTTTGAAAAAAAACACATTTGGTCCCTCACGTTTCAATAATTTGACATTATTGGTCATTTTGTCGATTTACCGTTAGTGCGTCAGTTAAGGTAGTGATGGGTACACGTTCAATTATGTTTGTTTTAACGAGAAAATTGACGGAAATGACGAAAAATGTTGAATATTTGAAACATGAGGGACTAAATGTGTTTTTTTGTGAACATGGGGGACCAAATGTAAAACCAGTGCAAACTTGACGCATGAAAACTGTATTTTTTTCCAAAAAAACCATACCTATCCAAGACATTATTTTTGGTATTTAATTTAAATATATTTGATGAATAAAATATAAGGATTATTTAGGTTAAATATATTTTACACTGCCTAACCATTGATATATAATTATATATATTTGTGAACTGTTATTATTTGTTATTTCATTAGATATACATACATATGTTAAGACTTGGTTGTTATGTTTGTTTTCAATTATCACACGAATGCCAACGAAAGATTCGACAAGGACTAGTATTTTGACAAAGAGGTGGTGCACTCTTTACAAATTTGTGCCTGACGTCAAATTTCGATGCGATGAATTAATTGATTGTTCTTCTAAAACTTCTCCATGCGACTATGGTTTAATCGTTGAACGAGTGCATTGATTTTTTAGGCTTCGATTTTATTATAATTCTACTAAATTCCGTTCTTTTAGGCACACAGATCACTTTGAGCGATGGATTCAAAGAACTTGTTCTCGATTTCCGATGTTTTAGACGTATTAGTGATCTTCCCTTTTCTTATAGCCTTGTTTACAAAATGCCCTCCTTGAAAACTTTGAAATTGGACGTACGTTTCTTTGCAGCCACACATGGGAAAAACCCGAAGCAGTAATTCCCTCCAAATTCTAATACTTCATAATGTTGTCGTACGTGCTTTGGATTGCATTTTGTCCACTTGTTTGAGCCTATGGTGTTAACGCTCGATCGGGTTTATAATTAATTCTTGGAATATGTACAAAGGACATATGGTGTGTTTAACAAGTTCGACAACCTTAGGCAGTTAGATTTTCGATTTTAGACTTTACAATAAAATTGTTACGAATCTGCTTTCGCTGGTTCAGTTTCTGCAGAGTTGTCCCGGCCTCCTGCAGGAGTTTCACATATGGATGTAAGTCTTGCAATACAATTTATTTGTTATTTTTATCAGGGCAATTTTGCTTCAAAGATTATGAATTGATTCCCAATTCGCCCACGAATTTAAATTATTGATGTTATATGCTGGCAAATAATAATTACCGATTTTTTTGGTTCTTGGCAAAGTCGGTGATGTCGATTGGAAATAGATTTGATTTGAGCTTACAATTATACCGTGCCACTAGGGTTGATTTTAGGAAATTTTGCAAAATATTGTTATTGTATATTTTCGAAAATCAGAATTTTGGAAATTAAATTGGATCGATAATTGGAATTTATGATTATTTTTTACACACTTTCAATTCGGATCCGATTTTATTATTATTATTATTATTTTGAAAAATTGGAAATCAAACTTTTGAAAATTAGAATGAAAAAATTGTTTTGCTGATTTTGGTTTTTTTTAAGACGAGCGCTCTGACATATACAGGACCACCGATAGAAAAGCAGGCCATAGTATTTCACTCGGAGCTGAAGAAAGTGGATTTCTTGGGACAAAAAACGAGTTGGAGTTCGCTTTGTACATGTTGCAAGTGCAATTGGTTTAGAGCTAATGCGCATTAGTAGGTGCGGCAAGGCATATGCGGGGTTTGGTTCTTGGCAAAATGCTGACAAAAAAGGCCCAGGTAGTCGAGAGACGCTTAAAATGATTCACGAGCAATTGGAAGGGCATGCTCTTTTCGAAAACCGTGTGTCGTTATCCAACATGAAGCTTTGCACGAACGAAGATAAGTGGGTGAGATCTGGCGGTTATTACGACAACAAGACTTTGCAGACATACTTCATTTGGTTATGGGGTCTAGTTCTTGTGTGTTGCTCATAATGGATGTTTGTTAGAACTTTTGAGATTTATTTACTTATTTATTTTATATATTTATGGTTACGGATTTTATTTATGATAATTTTGCCATTTGATAGTAGTAATTGACAGACACGCGTCAATATATAGCACACCCAGTGAACATAACCAGGTGTGGCATCGAGACCCCTGGAGTTGTGGAGCTTAATTTTCTATATGGGATTTTTTGCCCTCCCAACTTTTAATAAATTATGAATTTGGCTTCTTTTAATTTTATTTTAGTTTAAATTATGACTATCCATACTTGTTACTCATTTACCATATAAAATAGTTCAATTATGCAAAATCTTGATCCAAGCAAATTAAAATCATCTACAGATTTAGTGTTTTAGAAAGACAAGAAAAAAGTGGCTATAAAAGATCCCTGCAAGTGTTTCCAATTTCATTGACTAATGGAGAGTTCATTATTTATAGGGCAAATGACAAATAGGCCTATGACAAGTAAACTTAATTAAAAAATGGACATCCAACTTTTTTGTCTCGCAAATATTTTCAGCACATTTAAACTTATTTGCAAGTAAGGAAAACCTTTTTATATTTAACAAATTACCCCAATTAATTGAAACTCAATTCAACTCCAATTCACGATTTATACCATAATTTAACCAAATTTCACCAATTAACCAATTTGGCCCTAATTTCAATTTTGACCCCAATTTTGACCCGCCACCACCGAAGACCGCTGGTCTCCGGCGTTGCCTTTTTTTTTCTTTTTGAAAACATTTTTTTTTTCTGAATTTTTTTTCCGATAGGTCAACCGCCCTTGACCACCGGGTCTCCGGCATTGATTTTTTTTTTTTTAACTTTTTTAATTTTGTTTTTTCTTAAAAAAAAATAATTAATATTACTGTATTGGCTGCTAAATTACTGTCTCCAGCAGTTATTTAAGTGACGGAGACAGTAATTTAACTGTTAATTGACTTTTTTTTCTTAAAAATATTTTAATTAATATTACTGTCTTGGCTGCTAAATTACTGTCTCCAGCAGTTATTTAACTGTCGGAGATAGTAATTTAACTGTTAATTGACTTTTTTTTCCTGAATAAAAATATTTTAATTAATATTATTGTCTTGGCTGCTAAATTACAGTCTCCAGCAGTTATTTAACTGTCGGAGACACTAATTTAACTATTAATTAACTTTTTTTTTTGAAATTTTGTTTTTTCTTCAAAAAAATTATTTAAATTAATATTACTGTCTTGGCTGCTAAATTTCTGTCTCCAACAGTAATTTAACTGTCTGAGACAATAATATTATTGTATTAATTAATTTTATCGTCTTGGCCTGCATTTTTGCTGTCTTCGACTGTAATATTACTGTCGCTGACCGTAATATTACTGTCTTAATTTTACTGTTTGG